CTTACAATGCAATCAACTCACGGCCTAAGATTCTCAAAAATATCCTAATCCTCGCCATCCAAATGTAGTAAATGGAAGTATCAAGTGCAATTCGTTTAACTTGCTTTGCCAAGTCGGTCCCCGTGCTTCCTTTTTAATCCATTTCAATGCACTTGGTAAACTAGAATAATGCGTCGAATGGCCAACTAACTACGAATCTGTTCCCAAACAGAACTACTAAACAAACAGGAGAAAAATAAGTGCAATGCTGCTTTCTTCATTTTTCTACAAAATGAACATCTTCGATCCAATTCCAAATCCTGAATTTTTTCCTTTGTTAGTAATCTAGACTTAACTCCTAACCAAAGAATGAAAGCATGCTTAGGGGTAATGGAAGTGTTTCAAACCATACTTGTCCATACTTCCTTTGCATTCCGCAGTCTAAAAATTCACAAGCAGCCGTAATGCTGAAACTGTTTGTCTCCATGCCGCACATCTTGTCTATTCCAACCTAAACTACCTCGGTCCAACTGCACTGCTTGTCTACACCAGCCTGAACTGTGTGTTCATACCCCATTATTCTGTCCTTGATTTGCAGCGCTTTTTTTAATAAAGAAGAATCATCTTTTTTTGCCATGTGCTCCCAAATGTTCATCCCTCGAAGATATACCTAATTGACCCCTTTTATCCAAGTATCTTTTTTGCAATGGATGTTCCAAAGATTTTTGGATAGTAGTGCGCAATTCCAACTTTTAATATCTCCAAACCCAAGTCTTCCTTCATGGTTTGGTAGGCAAATTTTACTTGAAGCAACAAAATGCTCCCCATAGGAATTTTCGGCATAGGCTAGTGATTTTAGAGGCAATCGCAGCCGGAATAGAAAAATGGATAATAAAAAACATTCCAGACCTTGAAGAACGGTTCCACAGACTCCACTCTCCCTAAATAAGATAGTGAAGCACTAGACCATGCACAATGTATGAAGAGATTTTGTTGATGAAAACATCATAGGAGCTAATTTTCAATTTTTCCGCCACAAGTGAGATCCTCAAGTAGCGAAATGGCGTGGAACCCTTGGGAATGTTGGTAAGAGAAAGAATATCCTCCAACTCATTCCCCTGCACACCCATAATATACAAGCAAGATTTATCAACATTCATCTTAAGTCCCGACATGTCACCAAAGCTTGGTAAGCATTTCATCATAATGTCAACCAAGATAACATCCCCTCTAGCAAAAAGCATCAGATCATCCACAAATGCCAAGTGTGTTATCTTTAAAGCACATTTAGGGTGAAAGTTGAACTCACTATTCTCGATTGCTCCCTTCACCGTTCTAGAAAAATATTCAAGACACAACACAAACAAGAATGGAGAAAGAGAGTCGCCTTGATGAAGACCTTTCCTTCCCTTGATGAAACCATGGAAGCTACCATTAAGTACAATAGAGTATGTAGGAAGGGTAATACATTCCATCACCCAATCAATGAATTTAGTAGGGAAACACAACCCCTCAAGCACATGCTTTAGAAAATCCCAATTTACCAACTCGTAGGCTTTCTTTAAGTCAATTTTGAGAAGGGATACAGGAGCTACCTTTTACGATTATACTGTCTTAAGAGCTCTTGGGCTAAGTGAATATTCTCCACCATACTTCTACCATTCTCAAATGCGGCTTGAGCTTGATCAACAATTGATCCAAGTATAGGCCCCAAATGAGAAGATAGAATTTTAGTGATAACTTTGTAGAACACATTGCAACAAGCAATAGATCTATACTCTCCCATGGAAGAAGAATGATTAGTCTTTGGAACCAATGTAATAACCGTGTGGTTAGTTTGCTTGAGGAGAGACCTTGATGTTGGAAAAATTACAAATGATTTTATTAAATTGTATATCAACAATAATTAAATAATTCGGAATATAAATAACAAATAGGAGTTTTAGGAGTTATCCTTGTAGTGTGCTCTACAAAAAAATTTATTTGATCTTTGATCTCCTTGATTCCACCTTCAAGCCCCCCTTATTTGATCTTCTTGAAACCTGTTGGCCTTCTCCAACATTTTTCAAGAATTAAAAAAAAACTTTCAGGATTTTTCTTTGTGTATGGGTACAAGAATTTTATTTTTGCATATCTTAATTAAACCCAAATGTGAATTTACATGTCTACATATATGGATTTCATTCACAAGACTTCTAATCTCAAAAGAACTCTATCTTTTGATTGAATAAAAGTCTTCAGCAAAAGAAAATGAATCGCTTTTGTACTTATCCAATTCATAAGCACCATATCTAAATGTCACGTGTAAGACACATTCTGGTTTAATTAATTTATATATAATTCTACAGTTAACAACAATAAATTATAACTCTTATAATTTATTCCGATTCTTATATTTGTAGCCACTGAAGGGACCAAACGGACCCAATTAAATCAAGCTCCAATAAATTAATCTTGATCCGGTGAACTCTTGATCAGTCTAGATAATTTATTAATCAAGTTCTATTACACTAAAAGAACGTGATTTCACTCTTAATTTAATTGAAATTACTGAAGCTACAATACTTACATCCTCTGACAAATTGCTCTTATGTATTACCCTCATTAATCACGTTGAATATTTGGAACTGGGTAAAATGACCAAAATGCCCCCTCTTCCAAATATACATTAAATCATCAATCCCATTTTCTATTTGATAGTTCCATGTGAGCAAATTACAATATTAATTCAGCAATCATGTTAAATTATTGAGCTCAGATTTAACTGTTCATTAGAAAATCTCTTGAGGTCATGATCGTGCCTATTATACAGGTTATGGATTTGATATCGCGAATATATATTCTCCAATTATTTCATTTTAATTCCCAAGACATCAAGATTTTGATTAACAATTTAATCTCACTCATCGATACCTCAAAAAACTTCAAGTTAGTAATCAAAGTTCATTACTCGCTCAGGATTAAGGTACTACGTACATAGTCAAGTGAAATTAAATTCAAGTGGTCAATTCCATAAATTAATTTCACGCGGTCCAATCTAATACATTCCGAAAATGTACAATCAATTTTATTGCTATAGTCAAGATCAACGTTAAATAAAATTGAGACAATCTTATCAAAATAAAATGTTCGTCTTTATTTACCGATTGTGGACAATAAACTTTAGATCAAATTATAAATCAAATCTTTCCATGTTTAACAATTTAAACACTTGATTTATAATATCAAGTCAATCCATTAACAAAATACAAGCTCAAATTAATACAAATAATTTATTGGAAAAACAAATTATTATTTTTTATTTCAAAATGTCACAAGTATAAATAAATTTACTTGGAGGGCTAAAATTAAACTAACACTTGAAGTAAATAATTCTTCAATAGCCTTCATGAACTCTTCTCTAACAATATCTCAAGACTTCTCAAAAAAAAATTCGGTCCCATGACTTATCATTCCCATTACTAAATAGGGCATCTTTGATTTCTTGCCTTGTTACATCTCGTTCAAGTAACATAGCATTTTCATCCGATAATACGAGCCGAATACTTAAAATTTCTGCATTAAAGGGCTGTTCAAAACTATCTTTTTCCAACGATTCACTATAGAAATGGATGAATTCCTCCGCCACCTCTTTTTGGGAAGTAGAATAAGTGCCATCCCTTTTAATTACAGTTGGAATATAGTTTCCCTTCATGTTTCTCTTGGGCATGGAGTGAAATTTTTTTGTACGTTTGTCACTATCCTTCAAGTAGACAATTTTGCTTGTTGATAGTGGAAGCCCCTTTCCCCTTCACTAAGATGCATAGCGTCTTTCCTCAAGCGTGCTACATCGTTTTGTAATTGAAGATTAGTAGGATCATTTTATAAGTCTACTTGCATCCAAATTCCAAATTCTCTTTATTATTATTAGAGGAAATTACTTGAAATGTGTACTTTCATATGTCCATCTGTAAAAATGTCCACTTTCACAAATCATTATAACAATGTCCATTTAGAAATATTTTGGACCAAAATACCCCTGTAAACAATTTATGATTCCACACAAAAACAAGAAATGAACATTTTTGCAAAAATTTTATTGGTCAATAAATTTTTAACACATAACTTGTCATATTTATTTCAAAAGTGCACATGTCAAATCATAATTAATGCTATTTTTCTCATTAACACAGAAATATCGAGAATTACATTTCAAGCATAAAGAAATGTCATATTCGGAATGAAATGTCATTTTTGATATTTAAAATATCGAGAACATCGTTTGAAATGTCGAGAATTTTAATATTGTGATTTGACATGTATACTTTTAAAATATAAATCGGATTCAAATATCGAATGACATTTGAAATATCGATAACATCATTTTAATGTAACTTCTAATTGAAGCTATTTCTCGAAATCCACAACAAATTGAAAAAATAAATAAATTGCTTCTTTTTTCATTAAGAGCATGATAGATAGTTTAGCGTTAAATTAAAAAATTGGATACATTTTTTAAAATACCTCTTATTATTATTAACTGGACTGGAATGGACCGGACCGGACCGGACCATGGAAAAAACGGATGAGAGTTGTGGAATCCATACGAGTAGAGCAGAAAAATAAAAGGAAAAGGTAACGGGATTTGACCGTTGAAACCAGCTGTATTCTCCGACAACCTCAGTTATCGGGTAATTTGTTAGTACATTTGGGCCCTACTTACATGCACAGATAAACACAACAAACCAAATAAATTTGCCTCTAACGGCTACCAAAAATGTGGGTTATCCGTTCAAGGCAGAAACTCCCAAAAACACACTACACTACACTAGAGCGTCATGTGTGCTGTGCCCACTCTTCCACTATGGGACTGTAAAAAGATCACTTCTCAAATTATTAAAAAATCATACAAAAAGTGATAATAAAGAAAAGAACAAAATGAATATGATTTCTTAGCCGTTGGATTATCTGACAAAGAACTTTTAGTGACTGATGCCACCCAACATTTTCTCTCCCATTCTGTTAAATATCCTCTCACTCACCATTACCCCACTCTAATTTATTGAGGTGTTACCCATTTTTCTTCATCTTATTCATTTTTTTCCCTCAAGTTTCTTGATTTTTTTTGCATTCTCTTGAGTGGTTTTTCAAGAACTTATATATGGCATTGCTCTTGCTGCTTTTGGTTTTGACTGTATCAGCTGTTTCTGCTGATGGAGGTAAAAGAAAACCCACATTCTCTTAACAACATTTCATTTATAAGAAGATTTTATTATAATGGAGAGATCTTTTCTTTTTTAGTTCTATGGATTGTTTCAATTGTATGTGCTTTTAAAAGTTTGATTTTGGTACTTTATGATTGTTCATAAGCTGTTATAGTTGGTAGGATTTATTTAATTTATTTGGTAACCTAACTAGAATAAAAGAACTGGGATATATGTGTGCATTATAACCATGTTCTTTTTGAGATTTCCCATGTCTAGGTGCATAGTTTTCTTGATATTTTATTGAGTTTAGAACTGCATTTTTATTGGGGCTCGAGGGAAGTAGAGAAATTTATGAAGAATTTTGGAGAGTATTTCTGTGTTACTTTCACATATAGATTTATGTTTTTGTGAAAACATGAATCTGCACAATTTTCATGATGGTTGGAGTCTAGTCTTCAACAGGGAGGGGGTGGATGTTATATGTTTAGCTTTGTTCAAAAGTATGTTTTTAGTTGCTTATTTTGTGAAAAATGATTTTCAAAGTTACATTTTTTTTTTTTTTTTTAAATCAAAACTTACTTTTTAAGTTACTTTTTTCCAAGCACAACCAAAAATGCTTCACAAAAGGCTAGTAAAACTAGCTCTATCATTTTGAACAAATCATCCAAAAACATAATTGCCTTCTGCCATTGCACTGCTCTCAACAGCAGCATTTGTATTTGGAGGTCGATGTTGTCTCTTTTCCTTTTCATCTATTTTTTGCCGTTAGGCAATTACTTCTGTAATGGAATAAAAAGTTAAGGCTCCAGAACAAAACAACAAAAACCAATAAACTTTGTTTCCAGCTCATGAATTACTTTTATTCCTTGTTGTATTATGTATATGTACAAATCTTCCAAAAAGTAGTCTAAGTCCTTGTCCTCAAGTCCCCAACAATGTATCCCCTTTAAATAGGAATTGGAATCTGAATGGAAGATTTTCATATGATCAACCAATTATTGTCATTTTCTATTATTGGGTGGGTCAAGCTCATTTCTTGTTTTTTTCTTTATAATTTTTCGCTTTCGGCTGTCATGCTTTTTCCAGTTCTAGTAGATAAAGTCTCTTGATCGTCTTGTTATTGCCAGTTGTGATAATGTAAGTGTGAAGAGTTCAAAGTTCCACTTCTAAATATCTTTGCATGTGTGTTTGTCAGAGGGAAGCACAAAAATAATAATAATAATAATAATGGTTATTGTGAAATGAATTTGGTAATCTGCTCCAATTTGTGATCTAAATTTAATCCCCTAACATGTTCGTGTTGTTAATATCGTTGAACTGAATTTTAATTATTATCATGCTATTTTTCGTGTAAAAATGGTATATGCCATTTGGTTGATGTAGTAGATTTTAGTAGTCCTTGATCAATACCAGTGTGTTAAGAAGTTAGGACGACATTAGTGCATTTCGTCTAGGTTCTATTCAATGGAGAAAGCCATTTGTACAGAATAAATTTTCACAGAATGCTGCCAGAACCTCACATGTAGTGGCCCCATGTTGTGATAAAAAATTCACCCACTCTCTTGCTGTGAGTTGTTTGTACAGCTTCTGTACACACAGCATCTCCCTTATTCAATCGGTCGAATTCACTTTAGTTGATTTCTTCCAGATGCATTTGTTGGCGTGAACATTGGAACAGAGCTCTCTGACATGCCACACCCGACACAGGTAGTTGCACTCCTCAAAGCTCAGCAAATCCGACACGTCAGGCTGTACAATGCAGACCGTGGTATGCTTCTTGCACTGGCCAATACAGGTATCAAAGTTGCTGTCTCTATCCCCAATGAACAACTACTTGGAATCGGTCAATCAAATTCAACTGCTGCTAATTGGGTGTCACAGAACGTCGTAGCACATTATCCGACTACCAATATTACAACAATCTGTGTTGGTTCTGAGGTTCTAACATCCCTACCAAATGCAGCACGTATTCTTGTCAATGCCCTAAAGTTTATCCATTCAGCACTTGTGGCGTCCAATCTCGATAGGCAAATCAAAGTTTCTACGCCTCTTGCTTCTTCCATTATTCTTGACTCATTCCCACCATCTCAAGCCTTCTTTAACCACTCTTGGAATCCAGTACTAATTCCCATGCTCAATTTCTTGCAATCGACGGGGTCGTATTTCATGCTAAATGTATATCCTTATGTCGATTACATGAAATCGAATGGTGTCATTCCACTAGATTATGCTCTCTTAAAGCCTCTTCCTTCAAACAAAGAAGCTGTAGATGCAAACACCCTTCTTCATTACTCTAATGTTTTTGACGCCATGGTTGATGCTGCTTATTTTGCAATGGCTTATCTTAACTTTACTAATATTCCTGTTATGGTGACTGAAACTGGCTGGCCATCGAAAGGTGATTCAAATGAGCCAGATGCCACTTTAGATAATGCCAATACTTACAATAGCAATTTGATAAGACATGTATTTAACAATACCGGGACCCCTAAGCATCCTGGAATTAGCGTTAGCACTTACATTTATGAGCTCTATAACGAAGATATGAAACCCGGGCCTGTGTCTGAGAAGAACTGGGGACTATTTGATTCAAGTGGGGTGCCTGTGTATATTTTGCACGTGTCGGGCTCAGGATCCACGTTGGCAAATGATACTACTAACCAGACTTTCTGTTCTGCAAAAGAAGGCGCCGATGCTAAAATGCTGCAAGCCGCTCTCGACTGGGCTTGTGGACCTGGCAAGGTGGATTGTTCACCTCTATTGCAGGGACAAACATGTTATGACCCGGACAATATTTTTGCACATGCAACTTATGCCTTCAACACTTATTATCATCAGACGGGAAAGACCCCTGGAAGTTGCGATTTCAATGGAGTGGCTACTATCACTACCACGAATCCAAGTACGTACAAACCTATTTTGATGTGATTTTGATGCTACATTTTGCATTTAGATAAGCTGGATGACTAAAATCTCTTCACTGAATTATTTTTGGTGCAGGTCATGGTTCTTGCTTGTATCTCGGAAGGTAAATAAAATATTTCTCTAAGATTATACGGTCTAGTCCCATCTAATATTGTGTACCAAACTTGAAATGAGTATCTAATTAACTTCGGATATTTACTAGCAAACATACTCACATTTTGAACCTGTTCCATATATTCCTGCAGTGGAGACAAAAACGGTACCCGTCTTAATAGTACCATTCCGGCTATGGATTCTAGGAGTTCGGACTCTCCTGCCAAGTTGGTCTATAGCAATGTGATTTCAGCTTCTTCAGCATACATTGTGATTGGAGCACTGGGATGGAGTGCACTGTTATTGTAGTAGCTTGGTATGATTGGAGCTAACTGAACCAAGAGCAATTAAAGAATTTTGAGCTAATTTTCTCCTGCACAAAAATTTAAGTAACACAAATTGAATTTATCCGGTGAAGAAATGATAAATTTCAAGGTGAAGAGTAACAATCATCAGATCCGCTTGATTTTTGCACTGAAGTAGAAAATGATGTACAGAGAACTTACTGAAGTTCGTATTCTTTTGCTGGTTAGGAGATTGTCAAATTAAGGTTTGTATTGAATCTTGACCGAGTTGAAATTCATTTTAACGAGTTATATCATTTATGTTTGGGCTGTGCTACTTCTACACAGGGGCGTCAACCAGTCTCCCGTTATGTACAAATAGCATTTCCCTTTATATTTACCCGAGGAAAGAACACTTTCCTGTTTCACCAAATTTGATCATTACTGCAGCATATGAAAGTTAAAAGCTTGCAAATTTCAACATGTTCCTAAATAATAGACACACGTTTTATGTACTCATTGCGCATACAAAAAATACACACATAAGACACTCGAGAAAGAAAAAAAGGGGAAAAAAGAAAAAAATAAGAACTCACCAAGGCAGCATACAATAAAAGGAATAAAGAAGGAGCTGCTCGGGAATACCATGAAACACTCAGAGAAACTACGCTATTTTGTAAGTTATCCATCAAAGATGAATTTATGCAATCAATTATGTAACGAATAATCTATTTATTGAAGCGTTTGAAATAATCATGTAAACTTACAAAGGGGTTGACAAAGTTGGATGATAAAATCACATCCATGCCAATCATTTCAAAAACATATTTTTAAATAAAGGTACGTTTGATTGCAAATATAGAATTTGCATGAAAAGAAAATAAATTTTAGGTACTCTCCCTAAAAAAATATTTTCCTTGATTTTAAGAAAAATGTGGTCATGTGACAAAAAGTAGGAAAATATTTTTCATAGAAAAAATGTCAATCAAACAATATAAAAGTAGGAATTTGTATGAAAAAACACATTTTTTATGGAAATATTAGCAATCAAACGCACTCTAAATTTTTAAAATCTCTCGATTTTTCCTTTTATTATTTGCCTCCTATCTTATATAGAATAAAATCTAATTAAAATTTCAAATCAAAATCAATAATTAATTTTAAATTCATATTTAATGAGATTCCCAATTTTTCTATCACATAGATAATCAATCTTTTTTAAAAGCCTTGTTTGAGCCACGTTTAAAAAAAAATATATATATATATATATATATA